CTCAAACAATGCAAGAGCAGCCATGGTTGGAATATTTTTTGTCTTTCCCTGCACCGTTTTATTGTCACAGATAGATTGATTACGATCAGGTGACCGATGGCCAAATAATTTCGGTGTATTTCATGCAGACCGCGTCATGAATACGAGTCTGACACAGTGAAACTGCATTAGCACTCTTTTGCCAGTAGGTGCCTCCATTTTGCCAAATCGAGCAGAAACTTGCGTACGCCTTGTCTGGGGTTGCCGTGAGAATGTGCGTGGCGGTACGCCAAGTTTAGTTTTTATACATCTCGACGTGAGCGTGGAAACGGGTGTGCGCAACATTTTTGTGCGTAAGCACCGTTTATACATGAGGCCCCAGGTATCCTGATCATGATGACTTATCATCTTACTAAGACTGTAAAGATATATTTTATGAAAGGTAGTGATTTTCCTACGTCTGTATCCCAAACAATCTGTCACAAGGTTTTTTTTTATGAGAGCTTCTTAAATGCGAGCTTAATAGGCACCAGAAAACTTGATTAGTTGATATTGATGGCTCAAGAATTGATCATTTCCTCCATGTAGCAACTGCTTGACTGCCACATTAGAGTGGTGTTCTTTATAAATTGTTCAAAATATTGCATTAATCATAACTGGGCAGAAACTAAAAATAAAATTCAAAATTATCAAATTGAATAATCTAATTATGGTAATTATGATTTTTGCCGATTGCAGGAACCCACCTCCCCGGATTATAGTAACACCAGTTCATTTTTATTTGTTCTACAAAAGTCCTGCATGCACCACTATGTGTGCATGTCATTGATATTGGGACAAGTAATGACACAATAGCTAAAAGAAAAGTTGTGTCACTTTCTTAACATAAGATAATGTTATTGAACCTGTAGTGTCAACTCATATCAACCTTAATAACTAAAGTTTTTAATTACTGTGGCTTTGGCACATTTAGAGAGGTTTGTACATTCCCAGGATGTCAGAAATAGGAGGAACACTTCCAGTTCCAATATCAGCAGAACCGCCCCCCCTTTCCCAATTAATAAATAAATACAGAATCAACAGCATGTTCTTTATCTTTCATTATACATCTGCTCAGTACTGGGGCCAATTCGCTACACATTCAGAGCGCAAGGAAGACAACTAGCAAAGATCATAGTCATGTATCAGACAAGTTATTTTTTAGTTAAAAATAAATGATCCATATGATAGTTAAGTCACTAACTCCCGACTCCGGCAATCAACAAGTTAGGAAGTTCTGCATGGTTGGTTGAAGTGGTTTACTGACTGAGTAGTTCAGCATTTTGGCAAGTTCAGTTCAAGCAGTTTCTCTGCAAATCTTATGAAACCCAAAACAGACAGAGTGACCGATTCTGATTGTGCCAAAAGTCTACTCAAGAGTTAAGTAAACCAGCTGGTAAATCCCAATAGCCTTTGCGAACCGCTCTTGCTGTATTCTGTATGTTGCGGCTTTGGTGTTGAATCAAAACATTTCAGAAGATATATTTGCAAGTTTCTTGAAGCACTTGAGATTATATCAGGTTTTCAGAGGCTGGCTGTTTGTTTATAGTTAAAAAGCTAAAGCCTGCTTACATGGTTGTTTTCCATTTTAATTAAACCTGATATGGTCGATATACATTCACAAGACTCAGAGATTTCAATACATATGTAATTTCAATAAAAGCAATAGAAGAAAGTGCCTCAGCTGTGGCTGTTTGGAGTTGGCCAGGGGCTGGTACAGAGCTAGGCAGTCATGATGAAGCACGACAGTACTTCGCTGCTCTGGTATCCACACACTATAACCCAAACAACATCCCGTAACTGGAAGGCCTGTCCTCCCCATGTCCTGCTGCTTCTGGTCACAATGCTGCCACTCAGGCTGGTGGGGGGAGGGAGGGGCACTAGCACTTTTGGGTTGCTTCTGGAAGGTGAAGTGCTCAGTTCCTGGAGGTCTCCTCCAGTTTGCTTTGGTGGTGGGTTCTCCTGAGCTCATCTAACTCCCTCTCAAGTTCTTTGACTCTTGTCCACATTTCTGACATCAATGTGGCGTATAGATTGGCCATGGTATCATATTGTGCAACAATAAGGCAGGAGGCAGCGTTAATCAGCCATAAGGTGACATATACTACACCCATACCATTCACTCTAACAACTCACATACCCTGCTTACTGTGCTTACAAACAAGAACTACCTGCTAGGGGTGTCACTTTTTTTCAAAAATCTCATTTGATCAAATTTTAAATGTCACGCAATTTGTTCAAATATATTCGAAAACCTGTGAGAAAAAAAACAACACAAAATCATTCTTTTCAATATTTTAATTATAGTTTGAATGTGAATTTTTCACATCACGTTCGAACAAATGTTCAAATAGTGATTAAAAACTGACAGCCCTACTACCCACACCACACACACGCACGGTGGGCCTATGCACACCACTATTTACAATACTTCACAGTATATGTAACATTACAGTACAACACAATAGACAACTACACAAAGCTATTTACATTAATTGCAGGACTGGCTCCAGTCCAGCACGTCGTGCTGCTTGCCAGATCCTGCCAGCACTATACTATCAACATAATATAATTATAGACTACACTAGATTTTTTTGCTCTGAATATATACTACACATGTAGCCTCTGCTTTCTTCTTTAATAACATGCAATTGGAAAAATGGTTAAAATAACATTTATATATTTTTCATGTTTATGATATATAACGTAGACATGAAAAACATATAATGCACTGGGCCGGTTTGCAGCTGAGTGTGAGGCGGCTGGGATGAGGATCAGCACCTCCAAGTCTGAGGCCATGGTCCTTGACCAGAAAGATGTGGTTTGCCCTCCCCTGGTGAGGGATAAGTTGCTGCCTCAAGTGGAGTTGAAGTATCTCGGGGTCTTATTTATGAGTGAGGGAATAAGAGAGCGGGAGATTCACAGGCGGATCAGTGCAGCGTTGGCAGTAATGTGGACATTGTACCCTTCTGTCATGGTGAAGAAAGAGCTGAGCTGGTAGGCAAAACTTTTGATTTTCTAGTCGATCTACGTTTCTACCCTCACCTAAGGTCTTGAGCCCTGGGTAGTGACCGAAAGAATGTGATCGCGGATACAAGTGGCAGAAATGATCTTCCTCCGCAGGGTGGCTGGGCTCAGCCTTAGATCCTTAGTGGAGCTCAGACATTCGGGAGGAGCACAAAGTAGAGCCGCTCCTCCTCTGCCTTGAATGGAGCCAGTTGAGGTGGTTCAGACATCCATCTAGGATGCCTGCAGGATTGCTCCCTGGGGAGGTGTTTCAGGCATGTCCAACCAAGAATAGGCCCCAAGGCAGACCTAGGACATACTGGAGAGATTATATCTCTCGGCCGGCCTGGGAACGCCGTGGTATTCCCCCGGTGGAGCTGGAGGAGACGGCTGGTGAGAGTTATTGGAGGTTTGTGCATCCCTGTGATCCAATCCTGGATAAGTGGCAGAAAGTGGATGGATGGATGGATGGATAGCATAGACATAATGTTGCTGGTATGATGTCAATATAACTAACATCTTTTAACTGTCTATTTTTGCTGAGAACCACTTACCTCATTCATGAAAAAAAAACTGCAACGGTTGTGCCTATTTGAGGAAAACTGTTGCGGGATCAAGCCAGCACAGTGGTGCAGTGGTTAGCACTGTTGCCTTGTGCCTCTGGGACCAGGGTTTGTTTCTTCACCATGGCTCCATGTGTGTGGAGTTTGCATGTGCTCTTTGTATTGTTGTTGGGTTTCCTCAGGGTGCTCTGTTACTAAATTGCCTGCAAGTGTGCATGTGTGAGTGAATGGTGTGTGAGTTTGCCCTGCGATGGGTTGACACCTGTCCTGGGTTGTTCCCTGCTTTGCTCCCATAGCCTCCAGGATAGGCTCCAGACCCCCCACAACCCCGAATAGGATAAGTGGTTACAGAATACAGATGGATGAATGGATGGATTGAGGGAACATTAAAACAGAGCTATAAATTACATAATTTTAACATGCCTAATAAGTTAAGGTAATTTCAATTTGCACAAAATTCGATACACTTTATTTCACTGTAACATTTCATTTTTATCTAATGATTCTCATGTTTGTGAGAATGACCAAATTCAAGCGTAGCAAGCTACCACCATGCTTTCATTTTCAAAATAAAATGGTTTCAATTAGGTTGACAATATAAATTAAATAGTCCATGTTCCACATTTTACTTCTTGCCACAATCATTGAGGGTATAACCCCCTTTTCTTGTTTGATGAATTAATTATACTTATTTCACGGCCATGCCTTGTTTTCTGGTTAAGCGTGGTGGACGTGTCCGGGCTGGAAAGGGGAGAATATGTGTAACTAAAGAGCGCATAACTTTTTAAGCTCTTTTTTGACTTAAGCACCTGATGGGAGAATAGACTGCGGTGTCACATGATCCCTGAATAGAAGGTCAGCAAATTTTATCTTATGTTGTCTCCCAGGCTTGCCCAGAAGATGCCCTTAATCCCTTACAAAATCAGGTAAAATTCATCTTTACAGACACGCCCTCTCAACAAAACCTTTCCCCTGTCCTGCACCCAGCTTCACAAGTCAGCTCATCCCATCCAGTGAGTTTTTATATCATTATTTTCTATCTGGTATGATAGTAACAAATGTTACAAGTTATTATGCCATTTAAATGAACTCTCCTCTATTTTTAGTTAGACTTTGAAATAGATTGTGGTCCTGATAAGGTGTGTATCGATGACCTTAAAGTGGATTTCAATTTCCTAAGGTAAGAGTAATGCAATGCAAAACTGTTGATTAGAAAGACAAACATTTTATGTACCTTAACCTATATTTGATCACTAATTACACACAAGTAGGGTTTCTCCTTCAGCATGAAGTACTCAAGCCTTTGGCTCCTTTTCTTTCTTTTTCAGAGTATCTGAAATGCATGTTGGCATAATATCGGAGTTGAACATACTAGTGTCAGTGGAGAACAGAGGGGAGAATTCATACAACACCCATATAATTTTTACCTATCCAATAGGATTGTCGTACAGAAAAGTTGAAGTACAGGTGAGGGACAATAAGACGATCAGCATTGCAAGTTACGAGCGAACATGAACCCAATGACATTTATTGAAAAAAAACATTTGTATTGTTTTTAGGATGCTTCCAGTAGGGCAAGAGTTCAGTGCAATGCCTTGCCCTTTCTGGATGAGACCACAGTGGAGCAGATCTCCTGCAGCATCAACAGGCCCATTTTCCATAGCAAAGCCCAGGTTAGGTCCAAAACTACTGTATTCAGCTAATTTGAATATTCACTATTGTCATCAGTATTCCATTTCTCAATCTCTGAAAACAATTAGAAAATGTGTGACTGGTGTTTATACTGAGAATTTAAAGATGCATCTAGAAAGTACTTGAATTGCGTATATTTTATGGTGGATCTTCCAGTTTTCTGTTCTGTGTGTCTGGAATTTCCTATGAGTACCGTTAGGAAGACTATTAATTGTACTATTATTAAATTGATTACTATTTTGTTTGAAAATTAAAACACACAATCAGTTTAATGGTTGATGTGTATTATTAAGTATACTATTAAACCTAAGGCAGAATAATAGTTAAATTGTGTTTCAATGTAATTCCTGTTAATGTGTCAGCTAAATTTATCCAAAGTTTCTTTTCACAAACAATCTTAAGACTGAAATTCTGAGTGTCATTCTATTAACATTCAGCTATGTCTTTCCCAGGCTTCCTTTGTGCTCGGTTTTGGCATAGATGGCAATAGTCATTTTAATAAAAACGTAACATTTACAGCCAACGCTACAAGGTAATGACCCCTCTAAGCCTGCTCTGATAGAGGAGATTTTGCTGGTACATTTATGTTTAGTATTATCTTTTGAAGAAAACAGACGTCACACTGTTCAGTGTCACAAGTATTGTGAATATGTGCTTGAGAGGTGTCACCCAACATTCAAGCTTAACTGAAGTCTGTTAAAATTGACTTTTTTTTTTTTTTTTACTTTACCCAATTTGCATATTTTCCTAGGGAAACAGTTAATTGCCCATACATAATATTGATATGAGCAGGAACTCAGCCTACAAGGAAACCATATATTTATCACACAATAAAATCTGCCCAGATATAGTTTTAATTTTAAATCTTTAACTTTGTTAAAATTCAGTTACTGTATTGTATGTTGGGCTGGATATTATGGTCAGAATATTTTTTGTCAATATAACATTCTCCCGGTTTCATTTTCAGTGGAAATGGACAACACACAGGGAATGAGAACTTCAAAAGAAAAAGTCTTGGTGTAAAATATTCAGTTTACTTTCAGGTGACAAGGTTTGTACATTATTATATTATATGGAATATCTATGCCAGGCTCCAGTACATTTCTAGAGGGGAAAAAATATGTATTTAAATAAATTAATTCTATTTTTTTTATATAAGTAATATGTATTTTGAAATGTATTACTTTATATGTAAGAAATACTTCATATTTACTGTATGCTGTTAAAATTTTGTTCTGTCTTTGGCTGACAGCTCTAATTAATATTCAATTTTATTTTGAATTTAAGCTCTGAGGAATCAACTACTTACATTAACTTCACAGCTGGGAAGAGTGATTTGAAGCAACCTGTACTTCATTCATTTAAGGTAATGTGTCTCAATTCATATTGGCATAATATAATATGGCTTTTATTTGACATTGCATGCCCATTAATAGCTGTATTCCAAATCTTATATTTTGTTTCCTTTAATTGTGCCCAAAGCTAATGGAAAGCAGAGGCAAATACCAGAGATCAGACATTTAATAAAATGACTGCCCATTTTGCATTTCCCATTGCTACTGTGGCAGGAACAAGTTTTTATAGTACACATAGTGCAAGATTTATATAAGTAATGAAAGAGACCCCTTCAAAGCTAACAAAGACAACTGAGGATGGAGATAGAAATGCTCAATTCATATTTTCAGCATCCAGTAGTACAGTAGGGTAATATCTAATAGAAGACCCTCATCATTTAAATTCAGGAAACAGATTGGACTCATTTTAAAGTAATTACAGAATACAATAAATGTATTTTATATAGATCCCTCATCCACTAAGCTACACATCACTGATACCATTTTTATTCATTGTAGTTTTAAAAATGTATATTGTTTGTGATACGGATCAAAATTATACAAGTTACACCAAACTTGTGGATAAACTGGTGGTATTTGTAATTATCAGTGAAAATGGATTTATGTCTAATGTCTAACTGATTTTTAATGTCTAATATCTAACTGATTTTTTACACCACTGCTTTTCTTGAAGGTAATGAATCATTTCAGAAATCCTGAAGTGACAGTGACTATAAAATCACCAATTAAGCTGGGAGGCAATGATATTTGGACCAACAGAAGCAGCCTTCAGGTAAGCAGTGCTATGAAACCATCTAGCAAGCTCACCAACTGGCAAGAAAGAGCTGGGGAGGTGAAGTATAATTTTGGACAGGAAGAAAAGTAACTGTTCAAGTGTTTGGTACTTGCAGCAGACTTAACAAAAAATGGGTGAGGAGGTCAAAAGTGTTTCTCCTATAGAGTCCGAGGTCCACCTGGGAGATTTTGATATATATGTGGGTAATGATGGAGGTACCATGGGGAGCGTGAATGAGAAAATTGCCCTTCCATACAGTATGTACACCCCAGTGAAACTATTAGCTCTAAAGTGAAGGAGATTATGGAGATATCTTGGGAATAGTTTGGAGCTGCTACAGGAGAGAGAGTACTGAGTGGTCCCAAAGATGTTTTGGCAAATTTTTGCCTAAGGAGGTGGAGGCAGAACCATGGATAAGTTTGGACGGAGATAAGTTTATCAGGAGTGGAGAAGAGCTGGTCAACCCCGAGGATATTGTAGAGTGATGGAAGGAACACGTTGATTAACTTCTTACCCTGGTTTTCAGAAGCCACTACAATGGAAAGACTGCAGGGGTAGATATGATCTGTCTTGAGAGAAGGAAAAACCTGGATGCATCTCATCAATGTAGCCATGGATCCAGGGGGTCTGCCTTTAGACTGGCAATCAGGAGTGGTAGTTCCTGTTTTGAAAAAGAGGCTCTAAATGGTGTGTGCAGCCTATATGGGATTATACTTTGAAAACGTGGAAATTCTATACCAGGGTACTGTGGTAAAGACAGCACTGGTCGAATTTAGGAATTAGGAGGAAAAATATGAATTCCAGCCTGGCAGTGGAACAGTTGACCAACTCATCTCCTAATCATGGTTATATGAGGCTTTGTGGGAATATACTAACAGAGTCAACATGTGGATAGTGATGATGTTCTTTGGCCACATTTGACTGAAAATGAAGCATGGCGGATGATGAGGCTCCATAAGAGTACTGACAATACAGACATAGGCACAGGTCTGCACAATGCAATACATTAAGTGTGAAGCATCAAACAGTTATTTAACATATACTGTAAATGGAATAGGAAACTATGCTGCATGTTAAAATAAATGTTTATTTGTAGATTCCAGGGTGTCAAAACCAAAAGGATGAGAATCCGAATGTGACCAATTTTGTGGAGATACTGAAGAAGACACAGATTGTGGTAAGAATGCTTGGCCTTTGTGTTGAATTCAGATGGTTTTGTAAACCTTTTACCTCTTTTCTGTGTGCTGCTCTACATATATAATATATGTATAATTCATTTTTAAATTACATATTAAATACAAGTGTTCCAAGTAGCCATTTCTAGTGTCCATTAGTAATTAACATATTCTGGAGCTTTGTATTAAAATTTCAGTTAACAATCTCGTATGCAGAAAGAGAGAAGTGGACCTCCACAAAGATCACCCATGCTGACTGTCATTCTCTTGCTCTCTCTCCCTCTTGTTCTCTGTTAGAACTGCACTATTGCAGTTTGTGCAGTGATAAAGTGTACGGTTCACATGCAAGAGCTGCAAGACACTTTCTATAACATCTCTGGCGAAGTAAAATCGGGGTGGATTGAGCAGGTAACAGCAGAAATTGTGTTCGTAAAATTGTAACCGTAAAATTGTTTTGTAATACCGGTTAGTACTGCAGAATCTCTTGGAATTGTGTTACTCCATAAGACATTATGCCCAGTGGAAAAATGTAAGAATCCTAAGAGTACAGTAATGTATGGAGAGAATTTACAGAAGGTCACCATGTGTGTTCTACTATGAATCTCATAGGTCTCAAAGGGTACTGTGTTTTGTGTAGATGTTTAGAGCTTCATTTTTTCATTTAGCCCTTAAGTTTCTGTCTCTTTCCTCTCAGACGCAGCTCATGGCTCTAGATTTGGTCAGTAGCTTAGTTCTGGATTATGACCGGAACCAGTTTGTTTCTGCGACTATGGACCACGATCCAAGTGCTGAGGTAATATGATTAAGATGATTAAGTCATTTCTCACATTTTACTGAAAACTGTCAAATGAGGAGTCTCGGCACGTAATACACATTTCATACATTTATAAATAATCACTGGTGCTCTGTTTGTTTTCCTGCTGACTGAAGGTTAGGACACATGTGGTGATACACATCGAACCAAACTTCACCAAAGAAATTATAGGTGGTGTATTTGGAGGTTTGCTGCTCCTTGCTTTGATCACAGCTGCGCTCTACAAGGTCAGTGTCATCATTTTTTTTTTTTACTAAATATATATATACAGTAGTCCTTGCATATCCACCGGTGATACTTTCCAAGACCTATGGAGGATGGTTGATACTGCAGATAAAGGCGAACCACCCACAGACCCCATTTATAATGTAACTTTCTTGTATATACCTATAGTAAGTGATAAATTACACACTGTAAGACATTACCAACATCAAATACAGTAATAGTAAAGTACATTAAGTATTATTGTATGGTACAGTACAATACTATGGGCTCTCAAATGAAAATGATTTTGACATTTTAGCCTAATTTCCAAGAAATGATAGAGCAATGAATAAAAATCATGTATTATGGGATGGCAGAGCAATGAAAATCATGCTTTTTATACCCATCAAAGGATGAAGGAATGTAAAAATATACTGTTACACAATTTACTATACATAAATATATGTATTTATATTTGGACCATGGAAAGCTGATAACTGAAACCAGGGATACAGGGAGACTACAGTGGTACCTCAGTTCTCGAACTCATTAGAACTTGAATTTCTTAAAAGTCGAACCAACCAGTTCGAATAAAATTTTATCTGGAACTCAATCTGAATCTCAGAAGTCAAACCGTGAATGCTGGCCTAAGATAACTTGTACTGTACGCACGGGGAAATGACTCACGCGGCACATCTCTCAGTAGAACCAAAGGGTAAAGCTTCAGTCTCAGCCTCGCATTCGCTGTGATAGCATTGTGCATGTTTACACTAGCTGAATACATATATTTAGACAGTAAAAATACATTTAGACAATGATAGACAGTAACAGTAATTATTATTATATAATAAAATACATTTCAAAATAAAGATTTCTTATTAATTATTTTAATATCATTAATAATAAACCATTAATATATTTAATTACAATAATATTGTCCGGGGATGGAATGGAGACAAAGGCGCAGATGTCAGGGTATCGGGGAATACGGGGTTTAATTACAGGTAAGGCAAGCAAAACGCAGACGGACAATATAATGATTGGACTGGGGAAAAAAACTGAAACGTGGAAGAAATACAGAGGACTAATGACAACAACCAGAAACAGCTGATCACACGGGGATTCCACATGGGGTTAACGAGGGGGCGTGGTACACGGAAGGAGCGGACGATCGAGGCAGTTCGCATTGTTTTTTTTTTAACTTTACACATTGTTTGGATACATTTATTTTCTTACTTTACAAATTACTGTTTTGATAAATGTTCTTAGATGTGTTTAGTACAGTATATGCTTTTCTTGTTTTATCTGGTTCATTTTGTGTATAAATGCTAAAAAAAAAAACATATTTAGGTGTAATTTTTTGGGGCCAGGAATCAGTTAATTGGTTTTCCATTATTTCTTACGGGGAAAATTCGATCAGAACCAGAACTTTTTAGGATTTGATCCGGAGTTCTGAACGGATTAAGTTTGAGTCCTGAGGTACCACTGCACTGTGTTTGTTATGCACTAGTCAGACTATCACTGATTAGCCTCCTCTGTTATGTGAATAAAACCACAATATCTCTTCTCTCTCAGGCTGGATTCTTCAAAAGCAAATACAGCCAGATGATGGAGGAGACTGGAAACGAGACTGCAGAAGCAAGTCCTGATGCTCCACCAGCCGCCGAATAACATTTAAGAAGCACTTCATGCTTATTTGATAATGAAATATTTTTACATTTACCTGCATTCAAATATCTTTGGAAGAGCATATCATGAAATTTGGGTTTTGTTTTATTACTTAAGCTTATATTACATTGCTAAAGCATTGCCAATATGGCACAGGGAACCAACTGATTGGAAGCTCAGCTGAAGGTTTTGTCATGTTGGCCTTGAAACTGGATGAAACACTGGACACAAGTACTTTTCTTTTGGTTTCTATCATTTTTATTTTCTTTTTGTGTAACTCATATGTATGGCAAAATAAAAACATGTAAATAAAATCTACACAAAATGTGCTGGCAAGTTATTCTAAAAGCAAAAAAATACCCCCATAAAAGGCAGTGGCCTTTGGCTATATCACAAAACAGAAAAACAAAAACACGTCTCAAAACAGTATTACCATTTCAGTTCTTATTTTTCATGAACTACATGTGGACTTTACAACAGAGTAGTCAGGCTGCGTGCCAGTGTTGTCAGAAAAAGAAATGAACATTATTATCATTAGTTAAACTACAAATTTAGAATAATTTGGCAAGGTATACAAAACTTTATATTTAATTTTAATTTATGTAGCCAGGTACAAAATTCAATCAAATTTACCATGATACTCCCCGGTGTCATGACTTGCTCGTTCGATCCCCCTGTGTGCCATGCCCCCTCATTACCTCGTGTTAATTCCAGATTGTGATCACCTGCTGCCTATTATTTTCTGCTTGTCTTATGTATTTCAGTCCGCGTTCTAGTCTGTTTCCCCAGATCAGTCATTAATGTTGTGTACCATGTTTCCTGGTTCGTCTGAATAAACCCCGTCTACCCGTGATTATGGCTCGACGACTCTGTCTACCCGCTCGTCTGCACTGCGGATGTAACAGAATGACTGATCTCCCTCAAGACGCACCACGGCAGCCTTAGTCTGCTGCAGGAGGTGCTATATTGGCTCAATCAGCCCAAGGTCCGGGAGGACCCCGTGGCTCTGAGTTTAGCCAGCCTCCTGAGTGAGGCACCCCCGCCCGGAAATGTGTACCCCATGCGTCCCCGACTGTCTGTGTCCAGAAAAGGAAGAGGATATAGGCGCAGGGACCGGGTCCCGCCCACCTTGCCCCTTGGCTCACCCTCGCTCTCCCCGGCTGTGGCTCGGCGGCTGCCTGCGGGTCCTTCGGCTCCAGTCCGGTTGTTGCCTGCGGGTCCCCCTCCGGGGGCTCGTCGTCTACTTGCGGGCCTTCCTCCCGGTGCCCCCTCCGTCTTCCTGCTCGTTTCCTCTGTTTGTTCCTCAGCCTGTCTCCTCCTCCCCTGTGTGGTCCCCTTCGGCTCCATCCTCCCGTCCACCTGTGGCCCCTGCGGCTGCCTTCTCTCGCCCATCGGGGTTCCATCGGTCTCCCCTTTGTCCTGCCTCCTTGCTTCGTCCCTCCTGTCCCTGCTTCTCGTCCCCCTGTGCCTTCCATGTTCACTCCTGGCCCTTTCATTCCCCCTGTGTCTCCCTTCCTGGTTTGCCTGTCGGCGTTTCCCGTTCTTTATCAGGTCCTGTCTTACTTCCTGTCCCTGTGCCTGTTCTGTGTCTGTTCTGTTCCCGGTCTCTTGTTTTTCAGGTCCCATGTCCCCGGTTTCGTCTCCTCCGTCACCTCCCCAGAGTGCGCGCCTTTTGGGAGGGGAGGGGGGGGTTCTGTCATGACCTGCTTGTTCGATCCTCCTGTGTGCCATGCCCCCCTCATTACCTCGTGTTAATTCCCGATTGTGATCACCTGTTGCCTGTTATTTTTTGCTTATCTTGCGTATTTCAGTCCACGTTCTAGTCTGTTTCCCCAGATCAGTCATTATTGTTGTGTACCGTATTTCCTGGTTTGTCCAAATAAATCCTGTCTACCTGTGATTACGGCTCGACTCCTCTGTCTACCCGCTCGTCTGCACTGCGGACGTAACACCCAGTATATACATCTAATGTCAAGTTTATTTTGTAGGATCTAGTTATGAAATGGTAATCAATACAGTAATTATTAATTGTCTGTTAATATTTTGAGAAGTTGTAACAAAATTGTTTCATTGCGTGAGGGTATACAGGCAGAAAAATGAAATAGGGTACGGACATGGGTGAAAGTGGAAACAGCTCTTTTTAAGGATTAAAAATGACAATGGAAATGTCATACCTGTCGCATTAAGGAGGCTTCTCCACTGCACCAGGTACCTTACTTCTGTTACTTCGAGAAAGTACCAAAAGTATGGTATACTTCAAGGTGTTGTTTTTCCACTGCCGTAAAAACTGGTACCGGCGCCAAACGACATCACAATGCGAGGCGGGGTATTTTGTACTGAATTCGAAAAATGGCTAAAGTATATTATTTGGGCTGGGTCTTGTGCGATACTAATCCTGACATTGCATGTTATGCACATGTAATTGTCAGGGTCAGCCCCTGCTGTGGT